GTCAGAATTAAGAGAATGATTCCTATTATCCCATAGATACAGGAACATCTATAATTCATTGGAAGCTTCCTTTATATATCTTATTATACCTGTTCCTTGTATCAAGATTAGCATTATTATTTGCCCTTTTTGAGCACTGTGGGATCTTTTGCACGGTTTAAAATCTTGATTTTAAATGCCAGCGCAGCCTTCATAATTGAACTCTGAGATTATAACATTATTATCATCTGGGTGCTGATTTCTGCCTCACTGTGGCTGTCAGCCAAATGTCATAATGCATACAATTAACAGATTTGCTTCTCAGCTTACTGATAACAAAGGAAGCACAAATAATTCATGGGCAGAGGCACTGGTTCTTTGATGTGATTGAACTCTGATCCTTTCAGCACCTGAAGGGAGGCTGGCTGAAGGCAGGGCAGCCTCATTAAGGCAAAGAAAAAGAAAAAAAAATAGCAGAGGGGGAAGAGGAGGATGCAGGAGGTGCCCCTCATGCTGGGTGCTGTGACCTCTGCTGGGCCAGGTCCTGCAGCTCCCACCCTCCCACCATGACAAGGAAACAGGAGATTCCTCAGGAAAAGACAAAAAAATCTATGTCCCAGACAAAAAAAATACAGACAAAATAATGTCTCTTATTGCAGAGTAGCTTTTTTTCCCCCCAGAGGTTGGGGGAAATTCCTGATGAGCTACTTCCATCTGGTATAGAGTCCCTTTGCACTGGGGCAGTTCAAAGAGCCTGCAGTGTAACTGAGAATTGAGGACAGCATTTATTTATAGCTTGATAGCCTCATAAAAGCTGGAGAGCTGAGCTCACAGCAGTGTGCTTATTTATGTTTTAAACTGCTCATGCAGCACGCTACTGCCTTGCAAAGTGTATGCTGGAGCTCCTGCATACCATTATATATGGCTCTTTGTAAGGTTCATGGCACAGAGGGAAAAAAAAAGGGTGAAATAAGACTAACTAAATGGTTGATATAAAAATTAAAGTAGCAGAGAAAACTGGAGAAAAATTAATGGCCCAGCTCTCAAATAAAGTAATATCCAATGGAGGTTTGCACCTGAATCCATTTTTCACAGCAGAAGAAAAAGGTATCCCAAAATTCTGAGTGAGGCATTAACTCTGATTTTAGCTCCTTGTCACATTATAAAGGATTTGAACCTTGCACTGGAAGTTTTATAGTGACAACTCAGCCCCTGACAAAATCTCAGAGCAGTGTCTTACTGCAAATTCTATTTGCATCACACTTATCCTCTCTTTTACTATCAATGTACCATCTTTTTCCCTCTGTAACCCAGAGGGAAATCAAAGCAGCACTGTTCCATTATTACCCTTTAATAGTCTTTCCAGTGATATAAAGGAGAATATTAATATCCTTCCAATGACCTCACCTAAGCACTGCTAAAAGCTAGGAGGGAAGTGACAAGTTTGCACCTAAAGCACAGGAATGAATTTCTGAAGTTAATGGAAGGATTTCACCCCTGGGTTTTAATCCTGTTTTCTTTTTAACCTTTTAGCTTCAGTTTCCTCAGCTGTAGGTAGACTCACATGCAAGTCAACAGCACGATTTTGTTGAGTACAGTTCAGCCAGGAGCTGGCTGTGCTGTCAAAGCACAGGGATAAAGGAGGTGTGTTCTGGCAGGAAAAAGTGAATATTGTCCTCTTGCAAGAGTGAGGTAACCACACTGTGGCTCTGCAGAGCTCAGTGAGGTGGGTGGAGACAGCTTGGAGGGACCCTCCTGGAAGGGTCAGACTCTGCACAGGGTGAGGGGATGGTGGGTATGGAGCAGGTCTGTGGTGGTGTTCACAGGGATCCCAGGAAGAGGGAAGAGATGAGGATTCTGACTCCATGTATCAGAATGCTGGTTTATTATTTTGTGATATGTATTACATTAAAAGAAAATGATATATTAAAACTATACTAAAAGAATAGAAGAAAGGATTTCATCAGAAGGCTTGAAAGGAAAGAAGGAAGAATGATAACAAAAGGTTCTGACTATCAGAGAGTCTGAGCCAGCTGACTGTGATTGGCCATTAATTAGAAACAACCAACATGGACCAATAAAAGATGCACCTGTTGCATTCCACAGCAGCAGATAATAATTGTTTACATTTTGTTCCTGAGGCCTCTCAACTTCTCAGGAGAAAAAATTGTAAGGAAAGGATTTTTCACAAAAGATGTCTGCGACACAGGTGCAGGAGAAGGGGCCCAGCCCATCTCCTGCCCCCAGGCTATGAGCAGTCCAGCTGCTGCTCCTGGGGAGGGCACCCAGAGCAGAACCAGCAGCTTTGGGGTGCCAGAGGAGCCCACCTGCCCTGGCTGCAGGTGGACACTGCCCTTCATGGTGGTGTGGCACTTATCCATCAGATTATGAACACCTGAAATAGCACATTAATGGCATGAGCTATGTTTTTCCTCAATAATGCTGCTGAGGCCCTGCTGATGAAAGAGCAGAGGAGGTGGCTGCCAGAGTGTTGTGCCAGATGTGCTGATGGCTGGTATGAACACTTTAAAATTCACAAATCTAATGAACAGTGTAATCACCGATGAATGGTTGCTCTTAAGAAAGCTAAATTAACAGTGAAAGAAAACATAAAGGTGACCAGCAAAGGAAATGAAATCATAACTCAGTTCTAAGACAGCTTCTTCCTGATCTGTACAAAAGTCTGGGGGAAATGATGGTGATTAATTATCTCACTTGTTCTTTACATTAAAAATACACATTTAGACCATTATGGAAAACCTGGAGGATGCATTGACATCAGAAAAGAAAAAGGAGAGAAGTTGATAATTTTGGAGGAAAAGTCATGATTAGTCAGAATGTGAAACAGGATTGGAGCTTGTTGGTGCTTACTAGCACTTTCATACAGCTGGGGATGAACAACCTGGTTCAGGACACTACAGCTCATCTTCTTTAAGAGGTCTGTGATTATGGTCTTTGAGGTGGGAAGCACAGTTTCTGAGATATAGGGAGGTTCCTTTATCAAAATGCAGTGAAGGTCAAATATTACAAAATTATTAAATAGCACAAGGGGTAAACAATAAATGTTCTAATTATCATGTAGGATTCATGTAGGATAAAAAAAAAAAAAGAACATTTCTAATCTCATGAAAGGCTTCCACTGACTGTAAAGACTGCTCCAGAGGTAGTCAATGCAGAATTAAGACCCATGTTTTCTCAAATGCAGTATTTAATTTCAAAGGAGACAGAAAAAAAAATCTAGTTTCTGAAATACCATCTCTGTCTTTTTTGTACTAAATTTGTTCTTTGATTGAATTTTAGAGGTATCATAAGAAGAGCTCAGAGTCTGGCCCATATCCAGAGGTTAATGTTTAGTCTTCCAAATTAATTTTTTAAATCTGGTAACAACCCAGTTTCATTTCTTAGATTTGTTGCTTCTGGTTCCATATTTGAAATATGGACAGACTCAATCAAATCAAGGAAATGCCAATCTTCAAGCATGCTTGGCTTTTAAATTAGCACTCAAAGTGAGGAATCTACCTAACTGTAGAATGAGGACTAGTTCCAAAAACAACTGAACAGCTAAAAGAGTAGGTTTGAGTTTGGTGATATAGCTGTAGGTTTCCTTTCCACCTGGGAAATAACTGTAATATTTTTAAAGATCTATCTATCTAAATCTGTAGAAAAATCTGGACTGTTTGTAAAAATAGAGGAATTTCAAAGAATTTCATATACTCATTTTTACACGTTTCTTTAATGAAACTAAGACTTCTCTTTGTGTTGCCAGGATTTGAGAAAACTAATTCAATCTGTGATACAAGCCCTTGATCCTGCAAGTATTTAAGCTGCTGAGGAATGTTACTCATTTGAACAGTCTCATTAAGCACTTTGTACCATGTTTACAATGCGTTTCAAACATGGTTATACCACAGCTTTAGGACTTGTTCGTGTACTGGTGACTCATGACACGAGTCCTTAATGCATTTCTAAAACAGAACTGTCTCATTACCATATTACAGCCAAAAACTGTGATAAGGACTGGTATCCCTCAAGTGATGGTAAATGTCATTCTCCCACTGAAATTCTACACCTGTACCTCACATTCTGCAGGAAGACAGAGATTCACTAAAGGATCTTGCTTCAGAAAAAATAAAAAAAACAAACAAAAAAACCAAACCCCAAAACAAAAAAAACCCCAAACCAACATACCAAAAAAAACCCCAAAAAACCAACCAAACAATAAAACCAAAACCCAAACAGAAATGAGACCACAAATTTCCCTTTTCTCCCCCTGAAAATAAAACTGGAAGGAGCATGTTAATAATTACAATTTAATTTAAAATGTCCCTTGAGCTTACGGTGAGTGGAACAAAAACTGTGACTCCGCAGCACATAAACATCCTGCTGAGAAGAAGGAGGGCAGCTTGAAGGCTGGCCTCTATTTACTGAATTTATTTACTCTGTTTACTTTACTTATTCCAAAGGAATCCAGTAGCAACTCTGTAGAAACCAGTGACCCATGCTTTGGTGTAAGAGAGAAAAGAATGTGGCCAGTTCAACCAAGTTGCTTCCTTCACTTGCCACTTCACTACCAGTCTTTGGGGGTAAAAGCTGCCTCTACCCATAACACTGCATTGACACTCTCTGCTCAATTTTTATAGGCTCTGTACCAGGATCGGGGAAAAGAGGGAGAAGGCAGTTGAAAAAGGCTGCTTTGAAAGGAAGTCTGTAATAGTCTTTAAATAATCACAGAATTTGAGGGTAGGTATTGAATAGTGAAGGTCATTTTAAGTGTTGATTTTTCTTATATTTTGTCTTGGATTCCTTGAACCTGAGACCTCACCATAACTTTGCACGATTTTTATACCTTATTGATTCATATCACACCATACAGATTATTAACTTTAGGCAATTACAGCAATATTCATTTGCCCAATAGTTTGTTCTTATTGGACAATGTTACACTTCTATCTCTAGAGACATTCCCAATGAAGACCTTTAGTTCTGAGGATATCTAAAGAGAGGAAGTTTGGGGATCCACCATGGACCGCAAGGCTGAGGAGAAGAGAAAGCAGCGCCACAGCCTGGCTTTACTCGAGCAGGTGAAGAGCATGAAGGAATGCGCACAGATCATCGACGTGGTGCTGGTGGCAGAGGGCCAGAAGTTCCCGTGCCATAAGGTGGTGCTGGCTGCCTTCAGTGCCTATTTCAGGGCCATGTTCACGTGTGGCCTGGCAGAGTGCACGCAGAGGGAGGTGGTGCTGCACGACGTGTCGGCCGAGAGCGTGTCGGTGATCCTGCACTACGTGTACAGCGCCGAGCTGCGCCTCACCGGCCTCAACGTGCAGACTGTCGCCCTGGCCGCCTACTTCATGCAGATGGAAGAGGTCTGCAGCATGTGTCAGAAGTACATGATGGACCACATGGATGCTTCCAACTGCGTGGGCATCTATTACTTTGCAAACCACATCGGGGCGGATGATTTATGTGACCAAGCGAGGAAATACACGTATCAGCATTTTGCTGAGGTGAGCTTGCAGGAAGAGATACTCGAGATTGAATTCCAGCAGCTGCTGACCCTCATCAAATCAGATGATCTGAATATTTCCAGGGAGGAGAGCATTCTGGACCTCGTCATTAGATGGGTCAAGCACAGCAGAGAGTCCCGTTCACAGCACCTTGTTGAGCTCCTCAAGCAAGTGAGACTGGTGCTCGTCAGCCCCTCTTTCCTTGTGGAAGCCCGGAAGAGGAACACAATGATTCTGTGCAACTCAGAATGCAATGATATGTTCGAGGAAGCACTGAAAACCATCCAGCTGTCCAGGCACCCTTCCCTCAGCCTGAGATATGGCATGGAGACCACGGATCTGCTGCTCTGCATCGGCAACAACTCCCTCGGCATCAGGTCCAGGCACGGCAGCTATGCAGATGCCAGCTTTTGTTATGCTCCTGTGACAGGAAAGACCTACTTCATTTCCTCCCCAAAGTATGGAGAGGGCTTGGGATGTGTTTGCACTGGAGTTGTCACTGAGAAAAATGAAATCATTGTGGCAGGCGAGGCAAGCGCCGTGAAAATGTCTAGACAAAGGATGAGGAACATTGAAATTTATAGGTGTGTACCCTCTGTCAGAAATACCCTAATTATTGCAAAATTTTAAATAGTGTCCCTGGGGACAAAAAAGAAAAAAGACCACTACACAAAGCATTTTTTACTTGATTTTTTTTTTCTTAGAGATTTTGACTACTTGGATCACAACTTATTTTCACAGCTCTGAGATATACAAACAACCAAATTCTTCTGAAAGAATGAGGAGTTACTCTTGTGGTATCTCTGAGCAAATGAGCTCAATTTGATCCATGCATGTAGATTTTATATTCTCTTTACCCAAATCTAAGTATTTTCCTTGGATATTTCTTTTCTAGGTCATTAGCAGGGGGAAATGAGCCAAGTGATGATCCAATGAGCCCAGTAAAACAGAGAAAAAACATGCTTCTCTGTTGATGTTGATGATAATGCTTCATAGATTAAATATGATGATTGATAGCTCAAAAAGCTCATTCTGTTTTTACTCATATCCTTTCAGATGCACACATTTTAAAGAAAACCAGACATTTCCCAGATTAAAGATCAATTTTTAAAATGGTGACAGCATTTTCAAATGCAAATGCCTAAATTTGAGGAAATTAATTCATAGTGAGGCAGGTGAAGTGGCTTTCTTTTCAGCAGTGTCTAGTTCTCACTGCTCCCACTAATTTCAGCAGAAACTGTGATTGAGCAGCACATGCAGAAATGTGTCTTCTTATCTTAATTAGGGTAAAACATCTTTGAAAGGACACCTAGGATTCCTCATACTAAACATGCTTGATGATGCAAACATTGGGCTCGATTTTATAACTTCTCTGTGAAGGAGAGAGCTCCTCTTGTCACTGTGCTGAGTAAACACTGACAATTAAAGGGGGCAACATTTCCAAACAGGCTGATGGGACCTGGGTGAAGCAGGGCATTCACAGCTGTGGGTTTTCCTACAGATACCACCAGCGAGGAAACCACTTTTGGCACAGCCTGTGCAGCACTCAGCTCCGCGAGCTCTACGCGCTGGGCACTGCCCACAACGACCTCTATGTGATAGGAGGGCAAATGAAAGTGAAAAATCAGTACCTGGTCACAAACTGTGTGGAGAAGTACTCCATGGAGCAAGGCACCTGGAGAAGCACAGCGCCCCTGCCAGTGCCACTCGCCTGCCACGTGGTGGTGACCGTGAAGGACAAGCTGTACGTGCTGGGTGGATGGACACCACAGGTTGAGAATTGTGCCCATTTGCTTTGTTTGCTTTGTGCACTAACAGGAACTGTTGTGTAGTTTTACAGAGCTTCTTGCATGGGAAATCACATCAGTGATAACAGAAGAATAAGTTGCTCACATTTCTCTGATTAAACATGTTCTATAGGAAAATCAAACAGGGTGAAGAAGAATAATATCCATCTATGCCATCCTCACTGTAAATACCAACTTCAGGAAGGGCAGTTTTTATTCACAAAGATGTTGACTGTGAGCAAGAGTTTAAAATACATCTCCTTTGTCATTATAGGTTCCGTCCTTTCTATTCCCTATTTACCATCCTCTTAATTTTTCTAGGTATAATAAATAATGGCATTTAATCGTACAGGGACACTTAACTGTGCCCTGTCTTCAAAAAGCGTGTACACAAGTACACTTCAGGGACAGATTTCTATATGACATTTAAAGTTCACCTTGCTTTCTCAGGAAGCTTTCTTGGTTAACTAAAGTTAATTTATTTGATTTTTATTACATTACATTTTAAATGAAAAGTCAAAGCATTCTCTGGGAAACAGAGTCCTTTAAACAATCCATTTGTTTATTTCTGCTGCCTCGCTTGGCCATGTAAAGTTTTTAAAGGGATTTTCAGCAGGGCCACAGATACATGTTCAGTAGTACAGAGACTATACAGAGCTATGCTACAAGGAAGATGGATGTCAAGGGCAGTGCTCATTCTCTCCAGTTCTCCCAGTGCAAAATATGTTTTTTTCAGAGTCGAGCCCATTTTTATTTATTGCTTGGTGAATTTCAAATTTCAGTGCTCAGGAAAAAGCCCTGCATTCACTTGACAATGAAGTGGAGCATCTGTAATGCTCGTTGCAATATGTTCAGACTGTCACCACAACTCAATGGTTTCTGTCCTCTTGAAATAAATTACTGCTTAAAGTATTTAAAAGTGAGATGCAGTCAGCTAACAAGACTTCCACCTCTTTGAATATTTTGAGTGCGGGAGTCCCCAAGGAGGCAACAGAAAGATCAGAGAGTATTTCTGGTACAGAAACAACTGTGCAAGGGTATCTCATATGTAAAGAACTAAAATACGAAAACACTTAATGTAGAAACAATCTGTCTGTAAAAAAAAAACTTGAACTGAAAGATATGTCATATAACAAAGATAGATGTTGAAGTCAGACAACCAGCTTTGTTAAGCTTTTTTCCAGAACAGATTGTGAGAGGGAAAGGTGGCTTAGAAGCACGAGTCAGGAATATTGAGCCAAGAATAATTTTTTTAAAACCCACCTAAAGTGGATACCTGCCTACCAGTACTATCAGTAACAATGCATGGGTGTCTGAGTTTATACAGAAATAGGTTTGAGATGAGCAGATTAACAGCAATTGATCAAAACCCACAGCTTTGTAAGATTCTGGTGTACCTGCACAGACCAGGATAAATTAGCTAAAGAATACTTGAAAAAGTGCTTTGAGACCAGCACTAAGAGTGCTGAATTCTTCTTGTACTATTTATCTTCCCCCTGTCAGATGCAGTGATTGCCTGTGTGGGGTTACCACAGCTGCACGGGGAAAGCAAATGAGCTGGCCAAGCCAGGGGCTGTCCCTGTGCTGGATGGAGCAGCACTGAATGTTCTGTCAATCCTGAACAAACACTAACAACAGCATTGACAGAGTGCCCTCAATGCACGTGTCCATTGCAGGACAGAGAAAAATACCCTTCTCACTCAAGCTTTGCAATTGAAATAAGACAATTCAAAGTCAAGCCAGGACATAAAATAACAGCTTAGGAGGGCAAGGACTCGCTCATTGCAGCCCTGCTCTGCTCAGCATTGGGCTGGCCCCTGGTGCCAGCACAGTTAAAACACAAAGCGACTCCAGCCTTGCTAACTGGGGGCTGTTAAAATGGAAGAAAGTGTTTGGTGAGGCTAAGAGGAAGATTTCATATCCCTGAGGCACAGGGAAGGGCTGCTGGAAGTCATGTTTTCTGTACACAGGGAGAACAGGGTGCACTCCAAGGAGAACGTTACCACAAAAATGAGGTTGGATGTGAATTTACAGCATGTCAAGTGGTGCCTTCTCCTAAGTACATGTTTAGTCTGTGCTGAAAATACTCAGCTTCCAAATATCCCTCTTTCAGTGAATAAATTAGCGTTTCACACTTACCACAGAGAAAGAACATGCCCCGGGCACTTACAGGGAGTAACCAAGGGGCTTTATATTTACTCTCTAGTTTGCTTCCTACTACCTTGTCCATGACATTAGTGTTGGAAAGGTTTTTTGGGAAAGAAAAATAACAAGAAAACAAGGACACATATAACGCCATCACAAGTAAGCAAAGTATTTCTCTCCTTCTCACTCTCTCTATGTGAAAACTTTCATCCCAAAATATTTCAGAATCCTCCCTCGACATCCCACTGCTAACATTCAAGGGTGTCATACCCAGAAAACAGCGTCTGAATTCCCTGCATTGTATAAGATAGGCAGAGAAGGAGGAAGAAGATTAGAGAGAACAAGAGGAGTAGGAGTGAGTATAAAAAGTGTTATGGCAGCAAAGGTATAGCGAGGGGGTTAGGAGCTTATTATGAAAACTATGGAAGTTACAGCTGTTGAACAACAACATTACAGTGGTTAGGCTGACTAAATAAATATGCAAATGTGTTTTAGCATAAGATATATAAATATATATAAATAAACACACACACATATATATGTATACATATACATATACATATACATATACATATACATATACATGTGACTGAGAAAGGCCAGCAAAGTACCTGACTGAGACTCATGGTACAGTCTGAGTAATAGTGGAAAGAGATTTCAACATTTATCAGGAAAAAAAAGACAGACTGGTTTTCCCTCATTATTATTAGGACTGCACAGCAGCCTTGTGGAAGGGGGTATGTTCTTCCAGAGCTGGGAACCTTAACCCTAACCCTGAATGTATTGTTAGGATCCAAATCTTTGCCTCTCTTGCTGCAGGATAGAGACATCCACTTATCCTTTGCCTTCTACACAGACTCCCAGCCACCAGCCATGGGTGCTGGTAAACCCTGGGGAGAACAATCCCCCCCAGCTGTAATTGATGTGTTTGTGCTATTTATCTGCCGAGCTGTCTGCTGTGATTAACTGCCTGCAGGCATGTGTGGAGGGCTCCAAATGTTGTGTTATTACATGGCTGTCATATTTCACGCAGATGGATCTGCCTGACGAGGAGCCGGATCGATTGAGTAACAGAACGTTTTGCTACGACCCGCGCCAAGACAAATGGGTGGAGAGAGCCTCAATGAAGTTCTCCAAGTACCGCTTCAGCACTGCCGTAGTCAATGGGGAGATTTATGTCTTGGGTAAGAGGAAACAGATCTTTAACAGATAGGACCATTACTTTTTCTCCTTTCCAGCAATTTGCCTTTGTGAAGTGAAATATCTCACCCTTTGTTACATACTTTAGGGCAAAGTACCTCGTACTGAATGGGGAGTAATGTAATGTCCAGAATAACTCCTGCTTGTCTAGAATAACTCCCTAAGCTGCAGAAAAGTATATCTAGTGAGATAGTAGGACGTTCTAAGCTTAAAAATGGAGCTCTGTGCATTGTGTTTTCAGGCTTACAAGCAGGTATTGTATACAAAATAAGCAAGCATTATTTTAACCAAAAGCACGTGTGCTTATAGTGGTTGGATAGAACTACTGTCAGTATGCTTTGCCTTGTGTGATTGGTCAAAAACCTTATAAAGTAAGTTGTAACATTACTGCTGCCTGGGATGTGAGCTGCTGGCATCTTCCCATTGTCATAACCATGTAATGAGACTGATGCTGGAAAATAAAACAGCTCAAGGCACGTTCCCAGCAGTCCCATCCTGTTTGTGATTTGTACATAGACCACAGCTGGCGATAAATGGGGAGTATTTTTATAAAGTTATTAGTTCCCCACATTATTTTTTCCTTCTGTAATTTATGTGGATTAAATTATGTGAATGTGTAGTGTTCTGGATTAGTGCAACAAAGATATTTTTCTTTGTGGTGTCAGTGTGTGGCATAAATAATAAGGAATTTTAAAAGGTGAGTAGAGAAGCCTTGAAGCACCATTTCACAGGTGAGCAGTGAAAGGCTAAGGAATATATGCAGCATCCTGAAGGAAAGGCATGAGGATAAAGAAAATTTTGATTTCCCGAAACTAACATCATGATTGTCTCCTGACAAAACTCAGTGAATACCTCCCTTCCACCTACCTCAACACAGTGCATTAAAAAAAAAAAAAATCTAAAGATTTCCTTTTGTCAATTTTTCATTGGATCCTTTCAGGTTTTTTGTTTCAAAACAGTACTTGGACCAAAAGTTTTACAATTTGTGCAAATGAGTTCAGTAATCTCTGACCTACCCCAAAATCTTTTCCCCCAAAATCGTATTGTAGATAGCTATATGACTGGAAAGTTCTTGAGAAAGCAAGGAAAAAAGTCCATCCAGTCAATCTACAGGTGGGCTGTGAGTGATTCATGCCCTTCCATGCTCCCATGGTCTCATGGGCTGCCTTAGGTATGAAGAAAGCAGCAATTCTATCAGCACCTCAGGACATTTCAATCCCCTCTGCTACAAATACTCCTGCTTACAAGCTGATCAAAGTGAACACAAGAGTACAGTGTTATCAGCTTAATATACCTCCTATATCAGGGTGTTCTGGCTTTGTCTGGGTTGTTACATACCAGGGATAAAGCAGTTTGTTCCTGGCTCATAATACAGAAAGGGAGGTGTGCAAGAAAGGTGTCTTTGAAGCAGAAGAGGAAAGTGGCTTTAATGTTGCATTTGTCTTCTTTTAGAGAAACTTCTTTCTCTTAAGTGATTTGAGAGAGGCCCATAGGCACAACCCGGAGAAAGGGTAAAAGAAGCTCATATGAAAAAGTGAGTTTTGAAAACAGAAAGTTGGGTCATTATTGTCAAAGGTTAGTGATAGAGAATGTCAGTGTGCTCTTAAATAATGAGAGTGTTGGCTGCCCTGGTTCAAAGGTGCTTTGAAAACATGAAGGCTTCATGCTTTGTAAAAGGTTAAATACATGTAATTATTTATACTGACACTGATGCTCTAATGGGACAGCAGCTGGAATAGCTGGAAGAGAACAGCACATTCATGTGTCTCACTAAGAACTGCTCCCAGACCAAGACCTCGAAGGCTGTGATGACACAGGGAGTCAGGGAGCAAAAAAAAGCAGCTGCCTTGGGATGCATGTGATAAAACAAATTGACAGTCTTCTTCCCAGCAAGCCTGACACTGGCTTAGGGAAAAGGAGTGGCTAATGGGGAAAACTGCATCCATTTTCTTCCCTCAAAATCTCACAAAGCAAGAAGCATATGTGAAAGCTTACAGTAATGAAATGTACAGATTGAACACAAAACACAGCTTTAAATCCTGTTTAAATGGCATTGAGGAAAACTCATGGTCTCATGGACCTTCAGAAGCACTTTGCTAATTAAAAAATAAAAAAGCCTTGGTTCGTTACGTGTAGCAGCCAGTGCTGCAGTATTCAGGGAGGTGAACACTGAATAGCTTGAATTCTTTCTTACCTGCTGGCCAGTACAAATAATTCTCTGTGTGTGGGAGAGAGAAAATCTTTCCTACAATCTGATCTGAACATAGCTGGTAGCAGGGTTTTGCTGTGTCTCCATCACTTTGCTGGTTCACACACCTTCCCATGGCAGTCTTTATTTGAGCCCATTCCTAAGGGAACCAATGCACTTAATGCTTAGGTTACAGTTTGCTGCATTGGACCCTTCACTCCTTCCACTAAGTCTAACTAAACATTCATAAAGGCACTGTTTGTTCTCAGTTTTAACAGTGTAAACCTGGGCTAATTTCACTGCAATGGACAAACTTGCTTGTGATTTATACCAAGGGTAACTAAGCTCACACACTGCTCCCAACAGCAGATTTTTGAGAGAGATTGGGTTATTTTTAACCATTACATTTCTGAGCCTGCCTCCCTTCTGATGCTCTGCCCACTCAAGGTGTAACTGCAGCAAGTGCAGACACAGATCATTTATCATCAGGTAGCAGGAATATCAGTTGCAGGAAATACATTTTGACCTAGGTCTGGGCTGCTTTCACAACCTCCTCATTGCCAGTTTTCACAAACCTTGTAAGAACTTTAACGTCCATAAATCTGCAAAATTTAGTTGAAACTGGCCAACAGGCACAAAAGCTATGTAAGGTAGAGAAAATAATGTAATTGCAGATAGAGACCACATATAATTGCATGAGTCTTGTTTTCTTGGGAAGAAATTTTACAATATTACAATATTGCAACTAATTTTTAAATTGAAAGACAGGTCTGAGCCAAAAATGATTGGTCAACAAATTCTGCCTTTGAATATGCTGGTTTAAATCCACCTGCAAGAGTATGGGTGGAAACAGATTTATATGTTAAAATTAAGAAGACAATGTGGTTGCTAAATGTTAACCATCACAGTCTGAAAACTCTGTGGAGAGATTAAAGCATTTTCCAAGACCTCTCAAAGTCATGAAGTGATTTCCAAATGAACTCTGGCTGGAAACAGTGATACAGACATGATACTGGCATCTTACTCTGCAGACACTGCACACGGCCTCATCTCCAGCTCTAAACCCACACTCACCAACTGTAATTAAACCTCACACAGAAAGAAAAAAATCATTCCATGGTTTATCTGTGGTGACAGGTTCACGTTACCTTGTGAGTTCTCAGGCTGCTGGCCTGTGAGGTGGGTCCAGCTCCCCTCTGGACACAATTGTGATGGAAACTCCAGCTGGGGGAACAGGCAGCTCATGGCATTGAGAGGAAGTGAAAATGCTCCTGTTCTGGCTGATGTGGCACTTGATCATGGAGATGATGTTCAGGAGATAATGGGGATGGAAAGAATAGAGGTTGATAGTGACAGAGCAAAGAATAGCAACTGTCATGAGGGTGGCAAAACCACTTCAGGCTCCCCAAAGCTGTGGATCCCCTGGACGTCACCCTGCTTCATAAGGAGTGCCAGGCACTCTGGGAGTCTAGAAAGATGCTGTCAAGGGTGATTGGTGCAAAAAGACACATTCTGAAGAGGATCATTGTAGGTATTTGTGGTAATTGGGGTGGGGTTGGCCCAGCCTCATCATCCCCAACTGGGCACAGCTGTGAGCAGCAGGTGAGCAGCGCTGAGTGCCCAGGGCAGTGCCCAACCACCAAAGGGAACAGAGGGCACACAGGTGCAGGGCATCAGCATGAGGGGATAAAAGGCTGGGCTGAGGAACAAGAAAGGGCAGACCCTTGCAGCCTTCTGAAGTGCCCTGATGTTGCTCTGTATGGGCAGACACCTGATCTTTCTGATGAGGTATGGTGTTACTGTGTGTGGGTTGACGCCTTCCCAATTTGTGTGGGGATACTCTGTGCATGGTGGCTGTCTCAGCTGTGATAGGTCATAGGTTGTTCTCATGTAGTGGCCTCAGAGATAGCTCAGGGATAATGTTAAAGCTTTTGTGCTGTAGGTGAGAGAGAGGCTTTGGTTGAGTCTCTGCTATTGATATTCTCCCTAATCCTAATAGAAGCTTCTCATGGTGAGGTGTGTTTGCACAGAACTTGCACATCTGACAGGCTCCTGCACAGCCCCAGCCAGGGGACACTCAGTGAAAGGACTGTTCAGAAGCATGGAATGGCACTGCTTGGATTCCCACAGGGATCCCCCACTTCTCCTACCATTCTTGTTCCTTTTGGGGTGCAAATCTCCATGGGCATCCTGCAGTCAGCTGAGGAGATCCCCTGGGGCTGCTGGAGGCAGAGGAAGGAAAGGAAAGGAGGCAAGGTAGAAACAGGTAAATGCAAGATATCTTCTGTATGCCTGGAGGACCACACCCTGCTTCCCAGGAATAAAAACATGAAATAAAGAGAGAGTTCTAGCTGGGCACATAGTGATGCAGAGAGAGCTTTCTTTCAAGCAATTCTTGGAAACAAAGTCCTTAAATGAAGTAAAGTTGTCAGCTCTTTCCAGCAGGATCTCTTGCACAGGTGTCAGCACATTGAGGGACTCTAGAGCACAGATGAAAAATTATTGTACAGAAAGTTGATCGTCTCTAATGTCTGTGATGTATAAATGCAATTTCTATCATAAATATGAAGCAGAAAGAATTGATGGAATATTAGCTTTGAATAAGGAGAAGTAGCAGACTCTTTGATAGACAAGTTTAATTTTTGCTGTCATCCATGTAGGTGGAAATCTGTAGTAAGTAGTCTGCTGATGGCAGTTGTGTTAAGATCACTTTATTCTCACCCAGATCAGAATCTGATGCTTAGCCTTTGAAGTGTTAATTTCTGAAAAGTCCTATTGGCACAGCACAGAGTATGC